CCACGTTAAAACTGACGACACAGGTAGAGAGAGAGAGAGAGAGAGTGGAGGGTTGGCGGGAACACCACCACCACCCATAATCACCAGCGTGTTCGTGGTCCAGGAGATCGTTCGGTGTCGCGGATCAAGCTTTAGCCATTTTTAATCGACGCTAGATGAGCGCGACGGTAAAGAAAGAAGCGAACCGTCGGCTAATATGCAACGGTTATTGACATTAGCCGTGCTCCAGAGAAAAGAAGGCGGTTGAGGGAAGAGGAGTAGGCGGTTGGCTGGCTGTGTCCACGGAAGAGGAAAAGATACGGAGAAAGAAAAGGCTAAGGGGAGGGCAAAAGAGAAAAGCCTTTTTCGGTGTGTGTTTCGTCAGGTAGGACGTTAGAAAGAACGGGAGGAGTAAATTGTCGAATTGTCGCGCGAAGAACGAAGAGGGGAGAACCGTGAGGCGAACGAAATGGTCACGGGATTTGTTGGACCATTCTATTAAATGTACAGTTATGCTAGCTTCGACTTTGTCGTTAGGTGTTGGCTTTTTTGTTAGAGGCTCTTGCCTGGATGGTACTTTTTAGAGGATGATTAGTTACGTCTTAGGTGTGCTTGAGAATTTCCGTCCGATGGAATGTCGGATGATACAGTTTTCTCTTAATAGATCAGAAGTTTCTCTTCGGTAGTTGGAATATGGAACGAAACGATTGCAGGGTTTTTATTTAAAAACCCGCGCGACTGTAAAATTACGTCACTGCCGAGTAGCTCTTTCTTCCGAGAACGTGCAGTGACTTTCTCCCGAGTGTTTTAGGCGGCCTTCTTTCGCGCCTGGCTTCTTCAGGCCATGGACCGTCTAACTTCGTGTCATTTAAATCCGTCGTTGGGAACTGAGATGAAGTATTTCGTTATTCTGAACTATTTTCAGGTGGTATCGCTAACCAGATATAGCTCGAAAATCGTAAATCTATTTATTAATAATATTCTTGTCGTTAAAAAGTGTTTATTACTGAAAATGTGCGAACTTCAAGTATGAACTTTTTACAAAGTGAATTTTATCAAATGAATTGGTGGTCATTTGTCCATCCATTTGTTCATAATGTTGTTTATATAAATAAGCAACTTTATTTAACCAGTTTCCAAGGAAGAGGCGGAGGATTTAAAATTCTTCTGAAGAATTCATCACATTTTTTAATAAAAAGAAAAAAGCAACTGTGCAAATACTTACGAGTAAATGAATGAAAACTTTTTGCAATCTTGCATAAATATTCGCCTCGCTCTTGCTTACTTTTCACACGATTACCTATTCGACTCCAAAAAAGTATAAAAAATTCACTTAAGAGATTTCACAATCATGAAATGAATTAAAACCGATCAGTCAACCAAACGTATTGTAAAAAAAACTATGATTTCTAGCTGTCTTGCAATCTTGCATAAAAGTTCCTTTTATTTCATTTATTTCTGACACGATTATCTATTCCACCCGAAAAAAAAAAGACAGAAAAATAATTCGCCGTACAATCTGCTTTCGCCGTTCAAACCAGCCATCATGTTTCCCCTAACCACCATCGAAAAATCGCATGCGTTCCCTGTTCCACGGGACTCCACACGCCACAAGACGTTGAATTATAGATGAAGAGACGAGGAACCGTTCAAGTCGATGCACCGCTACCGCATCCACTTCTTGTCGTCCTTTTCCTCCACTCCCGAGCTTTGCTTCCTCCTCTATACTTCCTTCCTTCCTTCCTTCCTCTCCGAGACTCTTCGACTCGACTGCAATTTCGCGCACGTGCCTCGTAAAAGTTTCAGCTAGGCGTGCACGCGCCTCAAACTTCCGCGTACACTGACTCCGTTCCGTGCGCCTTCCTCAAACATTAATTCATCGTTTCCGACTATTAATTCCGTATGCGACGTCTGCGCGTCCTTTCCACGTCACGAAACTCCCTTTTTTCTGTCTTTCGTCCGTGTAATTTCATATTCGCGGTTTAATCAATTCGTAGGGTTTTTCGGGTAATCAGAGGGAATTAACGTAGATGGATGGAAATTGTGCATGTATTCTCGGGTTTAAGGGCTGTTCACTCGCTTCCTACGTTTTATGATTTTCCTTTTTAGTGACTGTTTTTTTTTTATTCGAATCGAGGAGGAAGCTCGAATTATTGCGGATAAGTTGCATTTGGTTATCTTCGAATTTATGGATTCAAAGAATTGAAGTTAGGAGCACTGTACACAGGGTGCTTAAAAATGAAGTTACAGACATATAAAGAACTTTAGATAATCAACTCTCCAGATTATCTAAAGAAGATTCTAAAAGTGTGTAGAGAATAAGGGGGAATACAGTGGAGACTCTTTGAAGA